ATGAGACCTAGTCAAAAGTTTCCAGAGTATCTTTTGAATATTAAAAAATAATAGCTGTTTTATACCGTGACTTGTAGTTTTCAAAAAAGGGGTCTCTGAAAATCTTGGCCTACATTTATATATAAGAGCCAAAGAAAATTAACAGGTTTTAATCTGACGACACTAAAATTAACTAAATAGTCTAACTCTTTTATATGGCCATTCAGGAAGTGAGCTATCATGGTTCTTCCAATTTCCTACCCTTTGTAGGTCTTAGTAAGGTTTACTATCACTTCCATTCCCTGTTCTGTCACCCATTTACACAAGATTGCTAAGTAGGTTACTTGCCGTTTCTTTCTTACCTTCAGTATCTCATGTCAGTGTCAAATTTTCCATGAGTACTAACTTCAATATATATCCTAGAAATTTCAATTGTTTCTTTCTGTTTCTAATTATAAGCGCCCTATAGTGCTTAAAATTTCCTTTTTAGTATCCTATAATGTTTGAAATTTAATTTTAAGTGTCCTATAGTGCTTAAAATTTCATTTTAAGTATCCTATAGTGCTAAAAATGTCCTCTTAAGTGTCCTATAAGGCTTAAAATTTCTTCGTTGCTTATATGTTATTCTCAGCATCCTCGCGTGGAACCACATCTCAAGTGTTTTCTTAATCGATAAGGACATTTTCCAGCATTCTCTGCCATATAGAAAGATTGATATTACGTCGCAGTTAAGCGCTCTTTTCTTTGTTTCTAACGATAATTTCTCGTCTCTTAATAGTTTGTTTAGGTTTTGCAATTATTTTTTTTTTTTGTACTATTCCGATGCGCCTTTGGAGTTCTGTGTCACATTTTCCCTTCCTCCGTTAAAACGATTCCCAGATATTTAAACTTCTATACTTGTTTCATTTTGACAGCTTTTATTGAGCTGTTTCTCTTTCTAACATTCATACATTCTGACTTCTTACAGGCTGATGAATTTTGTCATTCTTTGCTTTCCTTTACTTCCTTGTTTAGGAGTTCTTACAGTTTTCTCTCTGTGTTTGTGATCAACACGACAACATCTGCATATATTATATTTTCATAAAACATCTCGTAGAACAATAGTCTAGTGGATTAAACTGTTAATTCGTGAATTTGGATGACATTGTAATTGTGAGTTCTAATCCGTGGATTGATTATTAAAGACATAGATTTAATTGAAAAAGATTGGGCAATAACTATTTTGGTTGATTTTGTTTAGCGGCATAACAGCCTGTAAGGTTGATCTACCGAATTATTTTGTACGTAATTTTATGCTTTCAACTACAGATAATTTTATATTTTTAGAGTAAAGGTATATTTTTAGATAAAAAAAAAATTATATTTTTTAGAGTAAAGGTATATTTTTAGACAAAAAAATTATATTTTTTAGAGTAAAGATATATTTTTAGATAAAAATTTTATATTTTTAGAGTAAAGATATGTTTTTAGAATAAAATATATTGTTGGTAATTTTGCTACAAAAATTTATTTTTAAATTTTTTTAGTGTTGCGTTGATTGTCGATTTGCTACAAAAATCTATTGTTATTCACTTTATTATATATATAAAAAAATACTGTTGACATTTGTTTAGGTGTTCACTATTTGCCCATAGCTGGGACCTTAGCACATGCTACCACCACGGGTCAGGGTGGACCTGGGAACAAGCGCAATTAAGAGGTGGTTCTACGCTCCTCAAAACTTCCAGAGGCCTTGCTGCCGGATGTAGTTTATCGTTATACTCAGGAATACAGTAATAACTGCGCAGTGTTACGATCACATCTAGCAAAATCATTTTAGAACTGAAATTGCTAGATGTAACCGTAAGTTCTGTGCAAACAGTTTTTTTCTCCCACACTTCTCGCTTGTGGAAATTTCTTCCAGCTTCTTGCTTTCTAGTGAACATAAATCTTCAAAAATTTTAATTCAGTATCAGTCGTTATCTTCGGTCTTAATACCTGTCTTTTTATTGGTCTCTCACAATGTTTTTTTTTTCTTTTTTCTGGTGCGGGTGAAATGATTAAAAACAAAATTAAATTTTAAAATAGACTAAGACAAGATAACTGTAGATATGATCAGCGGAACGAGAATGTTCTATACTTGAATATTAAATAAAGGATTCAGTTCAAAATACCCTGGAAGTTACTTGTATCGACAGACGCTTGAAGAAGGCCGGAGAGTACAGTGTCCAAAACGTTGTGATGATGACAACACAGATGAGGACACTAGTTTGAATATAAGTAGTTTTCGTATTTGTTCTCGAAAGTATCTCTCTGTTTTACAAATAGACGAAGAAAGAATAGCTCACAGGCAGAGGAGGTATTCCTCCAAAAAAAGTATTTAAACAACTATGCGCTGTGGCTAACGACCTTCCCAGTCGTACACAAGAAATCAGGAGTCTAGCCTCTCCATACCTGGTAAGCAGCCTACCCATTCGGACATTCCAACGGTCCTAGTAAGAAATGTGGCGCGTGTGTTAAATGAGTGGACACGCTGGGTCATTGGATAGAAATGAATGGGGTGCGAAAGGACAGTCTGACCCGAGTAAGTTTGCTGGCCTAGCTGTTGGTAGTTAACGTATAAAGTGATTGCGTCCATTCAAGCTGGTCAATAGCTGAATCACAGTGGATATTTGCTATCTTGTTTGTCATTTGGAGGAAATGGATTCGAGTAGTTAACAGCTGTAAATCGGGGTGAGCACGCAGTATAAAGACAGGGTTGATCGTTGAAATTGGTCTGGAAAGGGTGACAATTGACTCGGTGTGGGCGGTCAAAGAGGAAATGTTCTTTGATAAATAGGTATTTACAAGTTTAATGTATTATTGCTTTTAAAGACTGGACGCCAGAGGCATTTAAGAATACAAGTCTCGAGCATGTCTGGTAAAAGGATTGTAAGGCTTTAACTAATATATATATATATATATATATATATATATATATATATATATATATATATATATATATATATACGAACAAGTTTGATTAAAAAAAGAAATGAAAAGATCTGTCTGTTTAAATTTTTAGTGTATTTTTTCCAGTTGTGTCGAATATCCTCACTGACATAAAATAGGTGTTATAAAAACACATGATTTATCGTGCGAAACTGATTTTCTCTTTGATGTTTTTACACACAATTAAACAACATAAAACAAACACTTATAATAACAATAATTTTACAAACCACGTTGTGGACGAAAAAATAAGTCAAATTTTAAAGAAATTAAAAAGAAAATAACACAGGCAATCATCTTTATATATATATATATATATATATATATATATATATATATATATACATACATACATGCAAATAAGTTTGATTAAAAAAGCCGCAAAGATCTGACTGTTTATATTTTGAGTGTATTTATCCAGTTGTGGAATTAGGTGTTCAGTATTTCGCTCAAAGTTGTGGCTAAACTGTTCAAATTTCATATTTTGTCATTGGTTTGTTTAAGTACTTTCGACCATCGTAGTCATTATCAAGCACCAATGTAGTGTCTGTGTGGTAGTCAGAATTCCTTTGTCTATTTCCTGGGGAAATTGGAATGTGCGCATATAATTTTAGGATTTGTCTCTGGTGCTGTTATTATTTCTTTGTGTTTTGATTGTTACTTTGTAAATTATGTTTGTGTTGTTTTCTGGAGAAAAAAAACAACACAAACTGATAAATTTGTAAAATCATTTCACCTCAAGGCAAGGCAATAAAACAACAAACACTACAATAAAATGGCAACTCCAGAGAAAAACCATCCTTTAAAATGGCTATAGAAGTGGCCAAAAGCGCTTGTAGCAATAAAAATTATGAACAATTTTGATATACTTCATCTCCTAAAAAGGGAAAAAATCTTAGGATGTTGGAAAAACTTAAAAATTAATTCAATCTTCTTTGTAGGTCGTATTGAGTGAAAAAAGTTTGAACGAAAGGTTGCTGCCAAAATATACATTAATATATATATATATATATATATATATATATATATATATATATATAACATGCAATTTATGTATACATGGAACTCCATGCCATAGTGTAATGGCTAATAAACCTATTCCTTCTCCAAAGAACCAATGTAGTGTCTGTGTGGTAGTCAGAATTTCTTTGTCTATATCCTGGGGAAATTGGAATGTGCGTATATATTTTTATTGTTGACTAATCAAACCACCGAAGACTTGGAGAATAATTATTAAAATGAACAAAGACATTATTTTGAGGATGTCTGGCCAAACCTTCTCCGAATGGTATGATTAATAAAGGTTAATTAAGTGCAAAAGGAAACTCATGGACTATATGGCTCTATGGGACACTGAGAGCGAACATCATAGTTTTTTTTTAGCAAAGTAACCATTGTATTCTATTTTTAGCCAATATATGAATTACAAATTGGAGACGCCAATATCAAACAATTGCAGCAATTTAAACATCTGTAACAGAGAGAGGTATACACAAACACACTCACATAAATGTACACACGCAAATATAACTTTTATTGACTGGAAGTGGAAATGGTGTTTATATATCAAAGTACAATTTGGGTTAAGGTGTGTGTTTACCAATGAGAAACACGATCTCAGGCAGGAGGCGATGTTTTAAATCTGGGTCATTAGAAAAGACAATGAAAAAATGAAAATAAAATTTATCGGTTAAAAATCGAAATAATGAAAAATATTTGGTTTTGTTTAACAGTATTTGTTTTGATAAATAAAATATTCCAAAGTCTGTTTTGGGGAAAAATCGTGGTAAATAATTGGAGAATCAGTTTACATGTCAAGGGGTTAGTTTTTTGGCACTCATGATAATCGCGTGCAGGGTCGATTCACAAATAGAGATAAACGCATTTATGCGGAAGAGAAGCAGACGGTTGACCAGACGGAAGAGAGACGGGAGAATCAGGTGACCGTCGTTGAGAGAGTCACGAAATAATCCACGGGAACGACTACTCCTACCCCAGGGATTCAATACGCGTTTATCACACACAAACCCTCTCTGTTGGGAATTCGCTTGATGCATTGTGTCTTTTTCTTTTTCTTTTCTCATTTAGTTAAATGTTTTATTCTCCCTGTAACCTCTGTTCTGATGATTATCTTCTTATATAAAAATATCTCCCCATTGTTGTCTGACTTCTTCAGATATTGTTTCTTGTTTTACCGAACTCTCACAGCTGTGTCCACACCCCAGTCGACCGTGAACATGGACAACACCCCTTACAAAAACCAAAGCGTGGGCAGAGGAAGACGACCGGAGGTTGACCGAGTGGACACCTCAAACCAAAGAGGAAGACGCCGGAGGTTGAGGGGCTGGGGACGAAGTGGTAGATATCTAAGAAGTGCTTTAACAGAGGACGGGAAATCCAAAAAGTGGTGCTGGGAAGGCGAAAAGTTCCTTCCAGAACCTAAGCAAAGTATTAAGAAAGAGGCAAATTTCTTTAGAAACAAAGAAAGTGTACTGAACTTCTGTGTAATATCGGGCGTCGTAAATAGCTGTGGGTGTTGAACAATCTTCTCACAGATGTAAAAAAGACAAAAGAAATATGGTTCTACAGAAGGATGCTGGGAATACCATCGATCTCTTTAGAGAAAATAGAAACAAAAAGAAAAGGAAATGGAAACTAGTACTTAGCATCAGAAAGAAAGTTGAAATAATGAGGAAAGGGGACTTAGAAAATTTGACACTCACAGGCTATATCGAAAGCAAGTGTGATAGAAGGAAGCAACACATAAACTACATAGCGAGCTTGTGTAAAGGGTTGACAGAACAGGGATTAGGTGAGATAGTATAAAGACAAACTTTACTAGGAGCTACAAAGAACAGGAAACTGTGGAGAGCTATGATTGCTCACATCCCGAACAGACACGATACATAGAAGAAGATTCTTGTATACAACAGTATAGGAGCTTATTTCTTTCAGTACCCTTCATCCTCGGCACGCTTATTATTTTTTCAAATAATTTTCCCCACGGCACGATTATTTCGTTCCAGGATCACACGCTTACTTGATAGGTTAAGGAATGATTATTTCAGGAGGCACTTGTATTTGGTACAACTTGTATAGCTCGACTACTAAAAACCAGTATGCACCTGAGGAATGCCAAAGCGTTCTGCGGAAAACAACGATGACGACCACAAAAGAAAATACTTCATGTCGAAACGTAAGGATTGCAATCTTAGAAATTGATAAAACACTAATTCAAGGGCTTATGGAACTATAGTACTTTGACGATGGGTTAATATCTAGAAAGTTCGATTCTCATTAGGTCCTCAAACATGTGACCTTGCTCCAGACTAGGCTGTTGAATAATTATTCATAGGTGATAGATTTTAATATGAATGCATCTCCTGTTCAAATATAAATGCACATTGCACGTCTAAACTGTTAGCTGATTAATATTGTCATATAAAATTGTGACAAGGTACAACGGTTATGCACCAGGAACTGGGCAAATGACTTGGGTTAGATCATGTAGACAAATGATATTAGCACAATATAGGGGCCTGAAGCGCAGGGAAAAATCATGAAATGCTTTGGGGTTTCATCACCCAAACTGACAACCATAATCCAAGCGAGAATGCTAGATTTAATAATCGTACATAAAAAAGAGAATAGCTGTGCCGACAGGACCCCAGTGTTTTGGTTGCAGAGCGGTAAATGTCATCACTCACGAAACCACGTAAACGATTTTGAAATCTTTCTCAGAGCTGGAAATTAAAACTTCAGTCTATATTTGACAGCAATACTCCATTTTAGGCCTAAGGCTGTAAAGATAAAGCATGGCAAGAAAGTGTCAAACCATTCCTGTAGCTAAAAAAAAAAAAGCCAACCATTTTCTCAGCTCCTTTATCAATTGATTGTATATATGAGTTCCACGTGCGTTCTGAAGTGAACATGTGACCTAATAGATGTTCAAAGCATGGAGTCTCAGACTAGCAGCAAATAATAACTTACGTAACTACAGAAAGTCTTCTCAATATTATAGCATATGCCTTAATATTATTGTCGTTCCAGTGACTTTAGAAATGTTTTCAGTCTTCAGTTTGAAATGGTCTTTCTTCTTCCAGGTTTTTTGGGACTGTTCGAATTGCTCCAACAACAATGAGCACAACTGTCATGTTTAATGTTCTACATATTTTTCGTTTCTCCAGCTTATTTATTTATTTACATCTTGTTATGTTGTCTGTTGGAATAGCGATTATACGTTTTAAATTTTCTTCTTTTCTAATCGCTACCTGCTGAATATATCATTACTCCCCTTGATAAACTTTTTTGTTAATCGCAAGCAAGCCACTAAAAAAAGGGGGGGTTACTCGGTGTGGAAGTATTAGTAAACAGAAAAATTACTAAGGAGAGAAAGCAAAAGCTAAGTCATCCGGAGGACAACAGATATTGACATTGCATTTAAATATTTGAAGATAAAAGTTGGCTGGAAAACATGGAGCCGTAATAGAGTTTCACAAACGAGAAGTGCGATAGAAGAAACTGTTAGCATAGAACTTACGGTTACATCTGACCAACTCGACTGTAAATTGATGAGATATAGTTGCCAGTCTACTACTGCGCTTAAATTCATAAATTCTAGATGCCATAGCGAAGGGCTATTCCGAACAATTGCCATGAAATTATTTATAGAAAAGGCAGAGGGAGGCAACTTTACAGCGGTGGGAAAGAGACTGAAACCGATATACCACATCAGGACCAATAATATTGCTGATTTTTCTTCAAATCTCTAGATATATAACTTTCTGCTCGATGAAAGTATTTCTGTTGGGATGGGTAAAATGATGGTTAAATTGCAAATTTTGCATTTTATTTTTTATTTCATTTTATTTCCGCAGTCAGTCTGTGTGCCGTGTGCAAAAAAAAAAAATAATGATGAAGAAAAGGATTTTCACTGGTCTCAATAAGGCTATCTATTAAAATTGCTTTTTCATTCATAAACATCATATTTTGAAAAAAACTTGCTGAAAACGTTTTAATGGATTTTTTTCTTTCTCCAACAAAAGCATTTCTCCCATTATACATCGTCTGTGTAATCATTTATTTATCCGCCGAATACTCATTATCTGATTTTTATCAAATATTCCCGAGAGACAACCAGATAAAACAGTGTTTGACTCTAGCTACTATTTTCTTACTCTAACACGCCTATGAAAATGTGCTTTCCGCTGCCAATCATTCTCAGCTTACGGAAAGTTTGATAACGGGTAATGTTTCCTGACCATCCATTACTTTAATCCACTAGACGTAAACGCTTCATTAACCGTAAAAGTTTGATATCAGTAACGCAAGTGGTATTAGGACGACGAAATCGAAAGACACATCGGGTTTGTGGACAAAGTTGATATTCTGAGTGATTTCGATGCAAATGACAATAGCTGTGATCAAGATCATTGTACTTGTAATGAAGCGTCGGAGGCACGGATATTATAATAGTTATCGGCGCGGAAAGTGAATTAGGCGTGCCGAGGTCAATTCTCGGTCGATTCTGTTCCGTTCACTTAGCGGTAAATTCCCTTGAAAATGGCATGAATCCATCTTCTAGGTATGGATTAAACAGTATGGCAAACTAGGCTCTCTTGACTAGAGGCGGGAATCCGTTTAGAAAGAAAAACACTAAATTTAAAACAACCCTGAATAGAGTTGGGCTATATCAGGCTATCCCTGCACACAGCACTGCTTCTATGACTGCAGTAAAATGTTGTTCCTCTACGACCTTATTGGAGTATGGGAGACATATACAATGTTGCAGCGGCAATAGAAGCAATATTCGTAGTAATTTCCACTGAAGCAAAATGCTATGAAACAGATTTTTTTGAATGATTCCCTATATATTTTTGATTACTATGTTTATCTTGTTTTTGTTTTTAACATGTTTCAGTCGATTTATTCCTCAACCATCTTCGGTGTTAAGAAAAAATCACTTAATATTTTCTAATTATATGTTTTCATTCTCTTCCCCCAAGTGTATATTAAAGACCTGATAAAACACAGAACTGAGAAAGTCGAAGAATGTATAGTCTAAAATGTTATTTTCGGAACAACGAATATGAGTAAAAAGATAAACGAAATGTATACAAAATAAAGAGCACAATCAATCTTCGAATATTAGAAAATATCTGGTACCATTTTTCAAAAACAGTTATTAATTTCAGTGCACGAAATATTACGAAAGTGTGCCAAACACTATGAGGCAGAAGTAGTAAAATTTTAGGCATTGAAAAAGTGTTATGTGTCGTCTTTGAACTCTTAGGGACTATCGGACCCAACCGTGCATCAATCACAAACAATTTTCTTCTGGTTTCTTTTTTCTCGCTTTATATTAAGGAGGGGGTTTCTTGGAGGAAGCGTCAGTGAGCGCGTGTGTGTGTGTGTGTGTGTGTGTGTGTGTGTGTGTGTGTGTGTGTGTGTGTGTGTGTGTGTGAGAGAGAGAGAGAGAGAGAGAGATGCGGGATGTCAACAGGTAGATCAGCTACTATCTTTTTCAGGTTTGTGACTTGTCTCCCTGTAGAAACCAGAGGCAGATAATGTAATCTGTAAAAGAAAGGCCTGGACGAGTATTAGTGCTCTTGACTCGCTGTTGCGGCAACCGTATTGTCAGTTTTTGTGCGTTTTTTAGTCATATCAAGACCTCTACAAAGACAATCATCGCTGCAACAATTTCATGCCAACAGGTTTCAAGCCAACCACACTCAGTTCGTGTCGTCAGAGTTCTGACCAGTACGATAGGGTCTAGAATTACATCAATACAATTATCATTTCACTATGTTTGTCAAACCTATGCATATTGTAACATTACCGCCTTTTTTTTCTTTCTCAAGATACACAGTAAAATAATATTTGTTTTAAATGATTATCCTTATTTGACTTCTAGTTATAGAATATTTGTTTTACGTCATTTATCTCTCTCTCTCTCTCTCTCTCTCTCTCTCTCTCTCTCTCTCTCAGATACACAAACACGCATACATACGCACACATGCTGTTCCTCCGTAAGCATAGGTCAAATACAACAAATATAGTAAAAAAGATGCCAGGGACTAGTGGAAGACTAGTTCCTTGGCGATCGATAGATATTTACTGAGGCTAAATTCATCTGTCACAAAGTCATAGGGAGTGAAAAGAAAAAACTGTACTGCGGCATTTAAAACAAATGATTTGCCTTTAACATCAGCAGTGAAAGTCGTAGATTTTATCTGAGGTCGAATGGTGACCACTAATTCCTCTGGGAAATACGCATATCTCAGTCACGAAACAGAGCTCTCCTTTAGCGTCAGTTATGGTGCATCATATCAACTGAACCACCACCAGCAATAACACTAACTATAGGCACTATGATGGCCACAGTTCTATCAGTGAGATCACATCAGGAACAGGACTTTAAAATTCCACAAGCAAGAGGCAATTTAGCACAATTGTCAGCGTCCACAAGAAGTGCGCTCTTTCATGACAAGGACGCAGCTTCAGCAATGAAACAAATTGGTTGGCCGCCCATTGAGTCAATGGCGAGCAATCTTTACAAATTACAAACGTTTAATTTGGGTGGAATTTCCGATTCAACAATGCGGTTAACTATCGATTACTTTTAACTGTATTTAATGCTGGTTTAAGTAAATTACGCCCTTGGGTTTTTCCGATCGTGTAGAAAAATAAGTAAAATGCAAAATAAAAATAAGAAAGTGTAAGTTCCAAGCTTTAATCAAATATAAGGGAGAAATTAAAGTCAAGAAGAAAAACAGCAGCGTAAATAAATTATCTTAATAAAAATGTAAAATCAACGCAAGTTTCTTTTGGCGTTTAAGTACGACTTATTTCGTATTTCGTATCATCTAAAAGTGCTTCAAAAAATAATCATTGAATAACTGTCGATATCAAAAAAACAAATAAAAATTAACAATATTTAAAGTTGTTCAAGAAAAAACAATAATTCTTCCTTTATGTCCAGTAAAATACACCCAAATGTATGAGATTAGTGTAATGTTTATCTTTTAATTGACAGACATTCCTCGCCACACGTCTTCAAATCCATGAATATTATTGATTTTTTTTTAACGACAGAGACTTCGAGACATCCTTTTGGATCCATAATGTTGATTTTCTGAATAACAGTTGATTCTAGGTATACATTTTAGATTTCTACATAATGTCAATTTTTTTATTGACAACTTCTAGACAAACGATTTTTGTTTTTTGTTTTGATCAGCAACTAATGACAAATAAAAAAACAACAAATCCGTAAGTGTTTAACTTCGATGAAATATATGTCAAAAGTCAAAAACTGAGAGTTCTTTGTTTTCAATCTGGTTGATTTTATGACATGTCCACACTTGTTGAGTTATTTAACGCAGTATTTTGTCCGTTACACACAGTGAAGATCGAAGTCACTCGTAATAATTAACCAGACTAGCCTCACGCAGAGGGGGGCTCTATTTTATTCTAGCAATATTTACTAAGTCAGTTCAGCATAAGTTTAAACATTCAGATAGAACTATTCGTCCTTAATTCAATGTACGCAATTAACTTTTGTCAATGTACTTAATGGTGAATATTAACTAAATGAAAAATACAATGAAAATTTCAAATCAAAATGAAACCCAGGCAATGAAACATGTCAGGCACAGACGTAGTAATCCACCCTCGTTTTCATATATATATATATATATATATATATATAAGAAAACACACATCTATCTAGATAGATATCTATTGTGCTACCGTTAGATAATATATATATATATATATATATATAGTTGCAGCTACTCGTATCCGAGTATGTCACATATATATAAATATATATATATATTTGTGTTTTATTCAACACCCGTATA